CCAGGGGGCGGGGCTGGCTGGCATGTGGTGCTGGGGGATTGAACCGTAGCCCCTGTGCTTTGCTAAGCTTGTTCTAAGTAGGTGCTTTAGACCACTGAGCCATCTCACCAGCCCCCCTTTTTTTTTTTTTGCGGGACCGGGGATTGAACTCAGGCCCTTGCTCTTGCCAGGGAAGTGCTTATTCCACTGAGCCATCTCCCCAGCCCCCTGTTCTCCATTTCTTAAGGATGCCCACATAGACACTTCAACACAGGCATAGTGGGGTGGGGTTGTGCACACCTAAATCCCAGCACTCAGGAGATGAAAGGAAAAGGGTTGCTGCAAGTTTGAGACCAGCCTGAACTACATAGCAAGACCTTGTCTCAAACAAAAGCCCCAACTTTATAAGACATTTATGTCCCAGACAATTCACTTACTAAATTGTAGTGTCTACGGTCCAAGCTGGGCCTGCGTGGTACATATCTGTAATCCAAACACCTGGGAGGCTGAAGCAGGAGATTGCTGTGAGTCTGAGGCCTGCTTGGGCCACGTAGCAAGACACTATCCAAAGCTACCCCATCCACACCCAATTGTACAATTTGGTAGTTTTTCCACAGTATACTCAGTCATCCAATTACCATGATAATCTAGGTTTGGAATATATTTTTTTTTTTAAATCCCCAAGGGGCCAGGGAGATAGCTCAGAGACATAAGCACCTACCTGGCAAGCACAAAGACCCAAGTTCAATCCCTGGCCCCATATGCCATGTGGTTCCAGCCCTGGATCCCCAAGTCCCCACTGTGTGGCAACCCCCACCCCAACCAGGTGTGGTGGTACATGCCTGTAATCCCAGCACTCAGGAGGTTGAGCCAGGAGGATCTCTGTGAGTTAGAGACCAGCCTGGGGGCTACAAAGGGAGCACAAGGCCAGCCTGAACTGCATAGCGAGACCCTGTCTCAAAAAATAAAAAGCCCCAAGCCTGACATGGTGGTGTGCCCTTCTGGCTGCCCTGGATGCTGAGCCTAGAGATTGCTGGACTCTAAGTGTTAGAGGCCAGTTTGGGCGACACAGTGAGACTCTCTTTTTTTTTTTTTTTTTTTTTTGGCGGAACTGGGGATTGAACTCAGGCCCTTGCGCTTGCCAGGGAAGCGCTTATTCTACTGAGCCATCTCCCCAACCCCTTTTTTAATTTTTTTGGGGACAGTCTCACGTGTCATCCAGGCTGGCTTTGAACTTACTTACTGAAGCTTGCCTAGAACTCTAGTTGATCCTTTCACCTCAGCCTCCTGAGGGCTGGGATCACAGGGCTACATTACCACATCTGGCATCAAGACCTTTGTCTTTTACAAGTAGCCAAATTGCATGCACATTAGCCCTCCCTCCCTGTGGCCCTCCCCAGCCTGACACCCTGTGTGAAAGTCCTGTGTCTGATTCAGCTGTCCCCTGTACACCCACCCTTTTCCTCTCCTAGGCGGACCGCCGCTATGAGAGCCGCTTGCAGGACCTGAAGGACCGCCTGGAGCAGTCGGAAAGCACCAACCGCAGCATGCAGAATTATGTCCAGTTCCTCAAGTCCTCCTATGCCAACGTGTTTGGGGACAGCCCTTACACCTCCTTCCTAACCAGCTCCCCAATCCGCTCCCGATCGCCCCCTGCCTGAGCCCTGCCCAGTGCAGAGGAAGAAAGAAAGGAAGGAGTTAGCAAGTTACAGCCAGAAAGCTGCAGGTTCTGCTGTCCCAGTGAGGACACGCCTGGGCTTGTCCTTTGCTGACTCCAGGATGGTCCCTCACGCAGCAGGCCGGGAAGCAGGAGGTACTTGGTGGCCTCCTCCCTAATGTCACCATGTGATGGAATTATTTTACTGACCTTGAAGGCCTTACATTTACTATGCCCATCATGGAGCAGATTCCAACTCCCCACAACAGATGGGGGAACTCAGCTGCGTCTGTCTAGGAATTCTTGTTTTCTGATCTGAACCAGCAGAAGCCCTGCTGGGCTATGAGCAGCTTTCTTGCTTTTTTGTTTCACAGGTACAGGAGGGGGTGGTGGTCACTTGAAGTTGGAGGAGCCCTTAATACCTCTCATACCTGTTTCCTTGGGGCCACTTGTCCCCAGCACTTCACAGCTGCCTTCTTGGGACTTATAAGTGTTACCCCAAGCTCATTCATTTTGGTTTCTCTTTGTATCTTTGGAATGCATTTATTCTTGAAATATTTGTATGGTTTTACAAAAAGATTTATAATCATTTATTTAAGTTTCCGTGGGATGATTTCCATTTTCCAGGTACCCCATCTCCCTTTTAAAAAATGATTAAGGTGTAATAAGAGAGTAAATGTTTTGAAAGTACTTGGTGTGTGAAACATCAGCCTCTCTGTTTTATTTTATTTTTTTAAAGTAATTCTTTTAGTTAGTTAATTAATTAATTAATTAATTAATTT